CAAGAGCTGCACCAACATTGAATTATTTCCTTCTACAAACAAACGAAACTAAACTAATTTGCATCCAATTAATATTTTTTTGACTTATGTGCGGGCTCCAAATTAGAATCGTCAAAGAGCGGACGGGAGCGGGGTTCGAGCAGGAAGCGTGCGCGTTTTAAGGAGACAGCGCAGTTGTCTCCACAATTCTTTGGCTTGGTTTTGCCATAAAACAGAGTACATTCCTTTGTGTATTCTGGCGCCAGCATGGGCACATAATTGTTCGGATTACAGAGATTCGTGTAACTGGTATGGAACTCCTTGTAGCCCTTGTAGAGCAGATACAGCTCCGGATAGTCCAACAGTGGATAGTCATCGGTATGCGCATTGCGATCAGTGGTGCGCAGGAACCGCATCAGAGTCGGAGCACGATGCGACGAGAATTCACAGTGGAATACATAGATGCTATTGCGAGCCACTATGGATGCTTCCGCCGGAAAGGCAGCCCTGATCTGGTCGTGGGTGTACAGATTGCGGGCACCACGTATGTGGCCGCCATGGAACTCATACGGATAGCGACAATCGATAATCTGATAATTATTAGACACCAATTTGAAGAAATCACCGCGCAACAGACGAGCAAGCGTTGCGCTGGATATCGTGGGCAGATCACTGTTCCGCATCCCACCGTGCAGGACGGGCAATGTGAGTGGCTTGCTCAGATCCCCAGTCAATTGCGCCACATTGAGTACATCTGCATCAGACTTCTTTATAGTGGTCGTGGCACTCATGCGAGGACGCTTCGGTCTTTTTGTCTTCAACCGGCCAGTGACCAGTGTATCCGGATCACTGGGCAACGTTGCTTTGCCAGATTTATTGGCATTTGCATCCTCAATGATGACATTATCCTCTTCCAGCTGCTGCTTGAGATCTTTACGCTCCATCACAATTCACACAATTTGCCACCAACAGCTGCTTATTCGAATTGTTCAATTGATGTTGTTGTTGTTGATCCGTCTTCTTTTGCTTGACAATTATTACTGTAATAGGCAAACAAATTTTGTTAACAATGCTTTAAATCAGCGATTTGAGCTGAGGGTATCTGCCAGTCGAGCACTCCCGACCAGAGCACTCGTAACTTGTGCACAACTGATTTGCATCGAGTATCCTGCCATTTATTGGATATATTTAATGCAGCCATTTAATGCGCTGTTTAGGCCAAGTTAAGCAATAGAGTCCGAATTTGGGTCTAGTTGCGAACTTGGCTACAAAGTCGTGTCAATCGCTGACTGATTGTTATTCAATTCCCTGCCAATAATCGAATCCGAATTGGAATTGAAACTTTTAGGCAATGTGGAAATTGTTGTTGTTGTTGTTGCTGTTGCTGCTGTTGATGATGTTGATGATGTTTGCAGACATTGCCAGCAGCAGCTGTCCAGGCATGACTCACACACATACGTATATCATATAGATACATATATATATATATATATATATAGATAGATACTCACACACACTGAAAGAAGGGCGCAGCAGTTGAGATGGCAAGTCAAATAACTTTGGCTTCAGCAAGTGAATGCGTCTGTGGCAATGGATCTCCTCCTCTGTCTTCTACACTCAGAAAATATAGAAAAAGAGTGATATATTTTTAAAAGACAGATATTTTGACTACTGAATCGGTCTAGAATGAATTGTTTAGTGAAGCAACGCTTGCTCATTTGAGTCGAACAGAAACAAGTTCACAAAAGAAATGTTTTAGAAATGTTTTCTATTATAAAGAAATAAATTCAAAAAGTGTATAAAATTTTTGTATATTTGTGTGTATTTAAATCTTCGAATAATTATCGAATAAGTAACCAAAAAGTTATTGTTTGCAGTTTGCACGTTTAAAAACTAAACCCTGGAAATGAAAAATATTTGAGAGAAATATTCGTTGGAATTAAGAAAGGATTCGATTTCAGATACATTTACTTTGTGAATAATGAAATGAGCTAAATTTCAGTACGGTTCAGTGTAGAATCAGGATGCGATCATGCATTTTTTACTAGACTAGCCAGCAATAGCAGAGCCAGCCTCATCCCAGCCTCAGCCTTAGCCTTAGTCTCAGCTGAGGCAGCTTCCTGCGTCTTTGGTTTCTCAGCATACCCTCTAAATTCAATTTCAAACTGAGTGGCTTAGCACTTTCTTTGAAATGTACTGCCTTAAAAGTCGTTCGCTTATTTTCTACAGCGGGAGATCAATGACAAACCTCTGCAAAGTATAATTTTACTGTCTTTTATATTTTATATTTGATTTATTCCTATGCATTTTGTCAAGTCAAGAAGACTTCTGTAGCAAGCTGAGTATCTGTTTACCGAACACTTTGAATTAATTGTGTTAATCAATTGTCTTGTCTTAAAATAGTGTTCATTTTTTAAGAAATACATTTCAACATTTGCAGCCAAGTAAAGACGAGCAATTTGAGTTGCATATTGCACTTGGTAACTCAATTTTCCACTCGAGTTCGACTAGAAGATAACCTGAACCGAGTTCAGTTAAACACTAGTAAAACCTCTAATATCATATAAGATGTGTACAGTGATTTGAATCAAAGCACTTATTTGTCATACGGAATAAAAGAACATTTTTAATTGCTTGAGGGATACATGAAAATAGATCATCGTATTCAAACACATATTCCAGTTTTGATATTTATATCTTCAGAGAATTGATAAACATTTCCAGGAAAGACAACTTTTTTCTATAATAATAATAATTTCTATGGGCCTAAAGTGACAGTTGATGTTGATCAAGAATATTTATAATTTATGGGGTCGGAGATGCTGCCCAACTTCAAGCTTCACAACTACATTATACAAGATATTTATATATATCTTGCCTATATATATATATATATGTGTGTCTCACACAGATTGTGCTGCTAAAGGATAACTTCTAGTCGAGAAACTCTCAAGTTTTTTTTTTACAGTTCTTTTTTATATTTTGCATTTCTTACTGGACGTCAAGACTTACGTGTGTGTGTGTGTTGTGTGTGTGTTGTGTGTGTTGCTGAATTGCCACCCCCTATTAAGTCTCACATGCGTGTTCTTGTCCCCCTCTTACCCCTTAGCCAGTCAAAAGCTAAAAGCGAAATGCGTTTTTCTATCTGTCTGTCTATTTGTTTATTTGACAACATTTTAGAGTGTGTTGTGTGTGTGTGTTGCGAGTGTGTTGTGTGTGTGTGTGTGTGTGTTGCGAGTGTGTGTGTTGTGTCTGTGCGAGTGTGGCTTATGCGCCTAGTTTGTGGCCCTTGCCAATATTTTGTGTTCACTTTCATAACCTGGTCTGTTTTTTGTTTTCTGCTTTTTTTTTAAATTGGGCTTAGGCCATAGTGTCGATGTTGTTGTTGTTGGCGAACAGATGGCGCTCGTAATTAAGTTGCCGCTAATGCCAATTTTGTGCTCTGCTTCTTCGTCTTTCTAATTTTGTTGTACTTTTGTTGCTTTCGGCATTTTGTTGGCAACTGTACTTATTTTTTTTTTTAGCTGAGCGCCACGAACAGCATTAGCAAAATGACATTGAAATATTACAAAAATTTAAAAACCATTATAAACAGACAAGAAAGCCTTACACAAAAATCCAACACCCCCCATCCAGTCCCGCAGCCCCGCAACCCACTCCTGCTATGTACATCCTACACATAAATATCTTATGTAGACACTACCTATGTAGCAAAAGGGGGGAGTTGTGTTGGGGGAGTGTGGACTAAATTCTTAACTCACTGAAAATTGCGCGCGAATAAAAAAAAAATAAAAGGAGAAAATAAGGAAAAAAAATAAATTCTATATATAAATATGTATATATCTATATATATATAAATAAAGAGGAAAATCAACAGCAGCAGCAAAGAATATAACAAAAAAATACAACAAAAAAATAACAAAAAAACCATCCACTTTTCGCAGTTTTTGTTTTGTCCTTGTCGTGTCGTTGTCGACGCTTTGCTCCTGCTCCTGCTCCTGCTCCTGCGTCCTCCTCCTGCTTTAACTGGACCGCGATGGGTGGCAAAGCAGGGGGTGGGGTGTGGAGAGGGGGGCGTTGCGTACTACCAATTTACTAGTGACCATAATCAACCCCTTTTTTCTTCTTGCCTGTTTTCTTGGTTTTTTCCTCTTGTTTTTTTCTGTTGTTTTTTTTTTTTGCCCAAACGATTGTTGTTGTTGGTATGCAAAAAAAAAGTGCGTAAGATGTGCGTAGAAGGGGGCGGAGGCAGGGAGCAGGTGGGGGGTGGAGTAGGGCAGTAGCGAGAGCAAAGTACAGCTGAACAAATCAAATAGGCAGAGGCGTCGCACGAAACGAGAGCAGAGGGGTGCAAGCGATTGAAGATAAGTGTCCCAATAATGATGCTGCTTAGAAATGGCTTTTGACCCCCTTTGCCTGTTGTCTTCGAGTGGCTAAAAATAGGTAAGAGCGGCCATCTTACATTGGGCATGGCTATATCGGCCCGACAGCTAATATTAATCAAGAATACACATATATATATATATATATATACCTTATGGGGTCGCAGAAGTCTATATATATTCCTGATCAGCATCAAAAAGTTGAGTCGATTTAATCAGCCAGAAATGCACTTGTTTTAGAGTTAAGTCACTGGAACTCGGAACATGTTCGAGGCATGTGGCCGGCATGGGAGTCATCGGTCGAAAGATTGCATTCCAAGATACCCTATCGAGGCGTGGCATCCGCAGCAATTTGCTGTAGATTCTCAATGATCCGAAGAGCGTTCCTACTGATCCTCAGCCAATTGTCGGCAGTTTGTCTTGCTCCCAATGTATCTGCATCTGCATCGCAATGCCATTTCATGTATGGCTTCCCCGATGGGTCAGTTACATTTTGCTGAATATCAAAATCTGTCAAAGGTCTTGGGAAAAATGTTAACATGTCAAGTTCGCAAGATGACATTAGTTTCTTGATGCTAAAGATGCTCACGAACTAGGGGTTAACTCTACAGCTCGTCCCCCCCCCCCCCCCTCGAACCCCATACACCCCTTAGTAGTATTGTCATTGGTCAGGGGCTACGCACATGGCATATATGCATCAAAGACTGGGCAACAACTACGCTCCATGCATATTCAAATTGGTTGACGAACGGGCTGACAGGGGGGGATTGGAGGAGGGGGCGTGGCGCAATCACAGCAACGAAAATCAAGCACACGCACTTAACAACAACAACAACAGCAACGAAAAAGCCAGAAAGAAGAAGAAGACGCTCCAATCAGAGTACTTGTAACCCTCTCCCCCTCCCCATCCCCCCCTCCACTCGCCAAATCAACAGTCCAAACCTTTTCCAGGCCATAAAACGCGACAAAACAAAAAAAAAAACAGCAAGAAAAAAAGAAAGAAAGAAGCAGATGAAGGAAAGCAGACAGTGAAAGGAAAGAAGAAAAATTAAAATACGCACAAAGTTTTGACGGCTGAATTGGCATAATGATGGGGTTAGTGACGCCCTCGGTGTGGTTTGGGGGTAACAGGGGGTTGGGCAGGGGGACGGGGTACGGGGGACAGTTGAGGTTTGCCATTGTCACTGCCCCAGCGAAACTTTTTCGGCGCTTTCCTCTTTTATTTTTGTTGTTTTTTTTTTTGTTTTTTTTTGGTTGTTGTTGTCCACTCCTTTTATGCTTTCTTTGGTCGCCATCATCGTTAATTTTATCTACGCAAATGCAAAATAATTACTTTACATTTTCTTTGGTTTTTCCCGTTTACCATCAAGAGGATGGGTGGGGGAGGGGGTCGACCCCAGCCCCTTGCGTCTAACCCTTTCGGGGCAACGGCTGTCGAAATTTATGTACTTTTGCCTTCGTCTTTTGCTTTTCCATTTTTTCCTCTGCATTTTTGTTTTTTTTTTCTTTGTTTTTGGTGTATTGAAAAGCATTTTAAAATTCAGCGCCAGCTGTCCTGCTCTATGCATATATATATAAATAAATATATATATATATATATATATATAGAGAGAGAGAGAGAGACAGGAACAGCATATATATTTAGCATTTTCTTCTTTTCTTTTTTTTTTTAATTAAAGAAAAGGGTTAAAAAGTTTTGCCGCGTTTTGCTTTTTGGGCTGGTGGCAAAAAGCGGGGTTAAAATCAAAATTTTTGCCCTCAGTTTCAGTTTCTATTTAGTTTTCATTTATTTTTTAAATGGAAATTTTTAATAACACAGATAGGGTTGCACTCGGCCTCATTACCCGATATCTATGTGCCCATGTCCTCACTGTCCACACCCCTCCTCTCCCCTCTCTCTCCCTGCCTTTTGCTATCTTGGGGTTAGTCGGAAAAACAGAAAGCAGGCGAAGAAGAAGAAGAAGAACACATTAATGTTATTTTTCTCTGAAGTTGTTTTTTGTCCCAAATATCCGCTCTCTTCCCGTTCCCGTTCCCGTTCCCCTTCCCGTTCCCCTTTTCCCGGTGTCCGGTTTGTCTTTAATTTCAAAAGACACTTGCAGCAACAAGATGTATATATATATATATATATATAGTTGACACGATATTTCAATCTGTCTTTTTTCTGTTTCTATGCAAACTTAGCAGTCTTAGTTAAAGATGGAATTTCCATGCAACTCAATCCTTCGAACTCGTCACGACTTAAGACTAAAGTTATTGCAGACAGGGTATCTTCTAGTCTAGCACTCGCTCTATTCCGATGATAGCTTGCATTCATTAAATGAAATATTCTGTTGACTGCGAAAAGTGAGCAAAAGAGCGAATCTTTTGATAGTTCACTTAACCATTGCATGATTTTATCTGCTATAGTAATTGTGGAGTGTTTTTCCTTCAGCTTGAAACACCAATTCAAAGGAATCCCCAGCTTGCAGCGGAGCAGAAACTGATTACTCTTTGCCCAAACCACTTCGGCTGCTGAAGAAGATACAACTTTTCAGCCAGCAGGAAGCTGTCCATGAAAGAAAGTGAGCAAATTTTGTTTTGAGCTATTTGCATTAAAGGCGCATCGGAATCCCAATAATGAGACTAAATAATTAACTTTCAATCAAGTCCATCAAAAAGCTGTGAAAGCAGTCGAAGCATGTCATGAATTCAACTTTCAAGTTGTCAATGCAATACTAAAATTTGCTTCGTTAATATGCCAATTTTTTAATTGCGTGCTAATTGAGCAATCTTTAGTCAGAGCTTCTGCAATCCTCTTGAACTGTATTTACACTACAGATACCCTGCTATGATCCTTGCAAGGATGTCGGAGTATGCCCTTACTTCATAGTATTTATCACACAAAAAACAAAAATAATAAAACCAAATGAAAAACATTTGCGCATTTCGATTTTCTAGTTTCGAGCCTTCAACTACTTTTTAGAGATATATTTAGTTAGTGCTACTCTAATCCTATCATTAGTTTTGACAACATATTCCCTCCAACTATGTTAAAGGAGTCCTTTTGCCAACCTCCTTCCCCTTCTCCTTCTCCATTCCCATCCCCGTTCCCCATTCGCATCCTCGCACAATTTAAACTCACATGCAGTCGCATTTATTTCTGTTCAATTTGATAATAGCCAAAGTGTGTGTGTGCGGCTCTCTCGCAGGACCTCAGTTCCTGGCGGACCTGCAGCCCATCCCCCCTTTCCCCCCAATACGCCGTCCACCCGTCCAAATCCCAACCCACACAGGCAGCAGCTGCCGGTGCGGCCACAGTGGAGCATTTAGAGTGGACGCAATGTATCAACGGCTGCTACAATCCCCCCCAACCCGCCCATTTGCCTCATCTCCCTGCTGTCAGTTCGCCTGCTGCTGCTGCTGCTGCTGCTGCTGCTGCTGCTTGCTCTGATGTCTTCTTCTGCTGCTTTCGCCCACGCACTTTCACTTTCGTTTTTACTTTCACTTGCCTGCCCCTCACTTCCAAGCTTTCGCAAGCAAAAGTGAAACTCATTTTCCCCTTTTTTTCACTTTAGCCCCAGCAACGCCTAACAAAAAAATAAAAATAAAAAATAAGAAAACGGACAAAGTAACGCAAAAAAAAATACCCCCTTGAGTTTATAACTTAAAAATTCAAAGCACGAACAAAGTTCTAATTTAAACACCGAGCTACAAAAAAAAAAAAAGAACCAAAAAAAAAGGAGAAATCGAGAAAAAAGCACGCAGCGAATACATGTCGGAAAAATTGGACATAAAGTGTACGCCAGTCGAGGCGAGTAAATAAAACTAAAAAAACAAGTCTGAAAAAAAAAATCAAGCGAGAAACGAAGCAACGAAGGAATATATACGCAGCAGCAGCAGCAGGAGCAGAAAGAAAGCATTTTGCCTCTGCCCCAGGAGTAAGTGGCGCACAGTTCTACGGCCTACATGCCACATGCCGCAGCGGCGGACAACGGTCCACACAAATCAAGTAAAGGGGTGGCAATCGCAACTGCTTCTTCTTCTTCTACTTTGCGAATAAAAAAGCCCAAGAAAAAGGCGGGCAACAAAAAGTGTAAAATGAAAAATACAAAATCCAAGTGAGAAAATGTCGTTGCAGTCGTTGCGTAGCCGACTGTCAAATATCCTGCTGCCAATATAAGTAATACTTACTGATACTGATAGCAAATTGCAAAATGTTCTTATTGCCAATGTTTGAAGATGGGTTTGCTAATTGCTTCTTTCAAGTTTGCCACAAAGGTCGTGTGTCGATCCTTGAAATATTTGCTGTTTTTCGCTTTGAAAGTTCTGCGAGATAAATGATTTTTTTCGATTTACAATGCAAAATTTGCTCGACTGATTTCTTCAATTGTTAAATGTCAATTGTATGTTAACGATAAATTCGACCGAGAATTTTCTATCGATGCTTTTGCAATTCGATTAAAATTTGTTAAGCGATTCGATATTATATTGAGGTATATTGAAAATCGATCAATTCTTATCAGCGTTTGAAAAAACGGGTAAAGTTAACTTCTATTTGAATGGAGAACTTGTAGTACAAATTTGAACGACTCGTTCATACAAACGGGATCATTCTGATCAAGAATATATATAGTTTATGGGATCGTGTATGCTAACTTCCGTCTGTCACATACTAAAGCAAAACTTTTTACTGATTTTTAGTGAGTTCATGGCACAAAAACGGAGAAATTATAATAATAAAATGATAAAGAACTGTTCGATCAGAGAAATGTACACAATAATTTTAGGATATAAATGATAAAAAGATGAGCAGTAAAAAGATCAGCTGCGAGCATGTATATATATGGCCACTAGCAAGTAGGCAGAGTGAGTGAGAAAGATCGAATATACTTTGTGATGTCAGTAAAACGTTTACGAATGCTTTCGCATGAGAGTCACAAGAGAGAGAGAGATAGAGTGATCGACAGAGAGAGAGAGAAAGATAACTATTCATGTGTTGTAGTGCCAGAAGAACGCTAATGAATGTAAAACGGTAATAAATGCTCTCTCACGAGAGTGGCAAGTAAGTCAAGAGAGAGCGAGAGAGAGAGAGAGAGAGAGAGAGAGAGCGAGAAAGAGAGAGGGAGATTATTCATGTATTGTGGAGCCAGTAAAAAGTTTAAGAATGCTATCTCTCTGCTCTCTCTCTCTCTCTCTCTCTCTCTCTCTCTCTCTCTCTTTCTCTCTCTCTCTCTGGTGCCAGTAAAACGCTGATGAATGTACTTTCTATCCCTTTCTATCCCTTCCCTACTATCTCCCTCTCTATCTCTCTTACTCTATCTTTCTTTCTCCCATCGTAGAGTGTACTCGTAGCTAACTAACTGCAAGCACCTGCAAAGAATTCAACACACTTGGCTCACTCATGGCTTCAACAGCTGCAGCACTGGTCAGAAGCCACCTGTTGTAGACCCTGGCAACCAAGCCTTTGCGCTAAAGCTAACAATTTGTGCCCTGCGCCTTATAACCAACCAGCAGGCGAAGTAAAAGGACAATAATTATAATAGCATACACACAAATCTCTCTCTCTCTCTCTCTCTGTATCTATCTATCTATCTATCTAGCTCTCTCTGTGCATGTCTCTGTCTCTCTCTCGCACGCATAGATCACAGTCTAAGCCCAACATTTGATCTATTGCGACCTTCTGCTACAAATGGGAAAGAGAATAAAAAGTTCTGCAGCTGGGCAATTGACCAATGGGCGAATGGCAAACGCCTTCAATTAATTAATATACTTAGCGCTATATGCACAACAAGTTTATGAGTATTTGTGAACTGGAGCTGGAGCTGGAGCTGGAGCTGGAGCTGAGGGTGGAGCTGGTACTGGGGGATGGATGGTGGGAGGCAAACTGAGGCTGAAGGGGTTAGTTAGGCTTATGGGTTGAGTTTGCTGCTTAAGTTATTTACACAGCATTACAAAGACCAGCGTTTTTTTTTTTGTTTTTAGCCATACCCTGTAAATTTCTAATGGTTTCGTATAGGGCAGCGTATGGGGTACATATATTTACATTTATATGGATCACAGATCGAGTCAAACTGTTGGGTATCTAACTATGACTAACTATTTTTGATTATATTAATATCATTTAATTATTCATTACAATAAATTGCAAATTTCGCTTTAATAGTTTCCCGTCAACTACTTTTGAGAAAGGATAAAGGAGAGCCTTTGCCGCATTTCAGCTATCTTTAGTTAGGGCTTCTCTAGTCTTCTCATAACGTTGACCTTTCATATAATATAATATAGTATTTTTATCACAAGTTAACTATTCACACGTAAACAAAATATGATAAAACTGAATGAGAAACATTTGCGCATTTTTCGACTTTCTAGTTTGCATTCATTCAGCAACTTTTGATAAAGGTTAACATTTGTATTTTTGTAGCACCTTGTAGCATCTTTAGTTAGTGCTCACTAAGAATGCAAACAGGAACAGAATGGCTTACAGGATATCTGCAAGTTGAGCACTCTCCGTTGGGTGCCGCTGTGCGTTTAGCATCTTATTTGAAATGTATATAAATGTCGATTTCATTTACCTAGTGGACAACCCTTGTGCCGTTGCCAATGTGGCAGAGGGACTAGGGAAGACGATGGGTGTCGAGGAGTGGAGGGAGCTGGGGAGGGGCTCCCAGCTCATTATGTCCATCGTCGAAGCTCACTTATTTACTGGCGATTGCCTTCCCGAAGGCCAATTGGTCTCGGGGTCAACGGGGTCGCTTCACTATTGTACAACAATCTTAGATATATATATGTATATATATATATACATCTGATTTGGAAAATCTTACAGCTTTGCTTAATATTTTTGTACAGGTTTTAGTGAACCGATTCGAACAGCAAAAAGACGCATTCGATTGCCAGATTTATTAAGCTAGACTGATGCATATGTATATAAAAACATTAAATTAGCTACTGATCACGAATATATATCCCATACAGATTATTTTAGTGGTCTTATTGTTATTATTATTATTATTATTATGGTTTATATTAGTATTTTCTTGGCTATGCAGAGCACTGGCGAGTCGAGCATTTAGCTTATCATTTATGCGAGTCATTTTTCATCCTTTTCAACACAAAAAATAAAAAATAAAGAAAAAATAAAGAAAAAATAAAGAAAAAATAAAGAAAAAATAAAGAAAAAAATAAAAGATGGGCAATAAGTTTTGCGCAACTTTTTTTCATTTTTTTTTTTCTTTTTTCGTTTGTGCCCTGTCGTTTTGATGAGTGGGCGGGGTCTCGAAAGGGGGCGGCGGCTACGAAATTATGTTTAATTGGACCTTGTGGGCTTTCGCCTTTTTTTATTCATTTTTTTTCTTTCTTCTTTCGAACTTGAAAGCGCTACAACTTAGATGGGTTGATATTTTCCATAAAGTGCTCAAGTGCTTCAAGATGGGTTGGGTTGGGTTGGTATGGGATGGAGGCGATTAAGTGGGCGGAGCACATCACTTAATGATGCTTAAGCTTTGATATTCTTTTGTTTTATAAGTGTTTTCATTTGCGAAATTAGAAAACGTACAACAACTCGACAGCAGCGACTCATATGCGATAGTTGTTCCCCGCTTTCATCACACTCCATTGACCAATAAATAAGTGAGGAACATAACCCAGACAATTCTCAAATTACGCCCAACATTTAATTGGGGAACTATTGCAATGAAAAAGAAAAAAAAAGAAGAAAGAAATGCATTCACCGACAGCAGCAATGCTCTCTGACTTTAGTCGGGCAAATTCTGAAACAAGAAATTGAACTTATCCAAAAAAATCATTTAGTCAACAGAGGAAATATGAGATTCTCTGGAAGATCGCTTGGCTCAATCTCAAACAAATTAAAAGCCGCAAAAGAAGAGCAATCGATTCATCACTTCCACTCTGCATCTGCAATCTGCAATCTAGTTATTCAGGTGAACTGCAGAATATCGAAAAAAAAGGGGGGGAAATAGTCCAATAATGGCAGTTTGCCCCCAACTTAAACTAATCTAGAATAGTCGGACTGTCCAGAAAAATATTCGCATTGGCAAGCATATTTGAGAAAATTCGAATTTTTTTGAACGCAAACATTACAAAAATAAAAGCAAATTTAATATAGCTCGAAGATCGGCGATCGGATTACTTATCACGGCGGATAATGGAAATTTGAACTTATAGAAAATGCGTAAAACGCATTTTGCTCGATAAGCCAGAAGCTGTCAGGTGTCAGTTGACAGATGTCAAAATAGTTGAGGCAGTTGACTGCTTATGGCATATACACTTTAATTGCCAGTCAGAAATATGGACTTTTATTTGTTGTCAACTTTTTGTGGTTGAGTCGCAATCGGTTTAGGTATTCAAATTAAAGAAAACAAATTGTGTTGGGCATTTAAATTAAATGCGAACAATAACACTGACAATAACAATGACTATGACAATGACAATGACAATCAAAGTGCAACAATGTTGGACAAAAGTTTTTGATGGCTCAAATAAAAGCACAGCAGCCAGCAGCCAACAGCAATAACAACAACAACAGCGATGAGAGGCAACTATGTATGTAAAACTGCCACATTTGCGTCACTTAAGCTGCCCGTTTAGCGGCAAGTATCACAAACACACACACACAAACACACACACACACACACACACATACAGCAACAACATAAATTAAGTTATTTTGATAATCAAAACTGAAAAGCGAACAATGTAGGCGGGTGTTTGTTGGTGTGTGTGTGTTTGTGTGTGTGTGTGTGTGTATGGGGGGGTGTTAAAGGAAACATGGGCATTCATTTGTAGTTTATAGTTGTAGTTATACATAGTTGCCAGCATGTTAGCTGGAAGGGTTGGGGTTGGGCATTTGGGGGCTTGGGTTGGGTTGGGTTGGGGTATAGTTGTTTCTGTAAGGGTTGATGATGCTGTCCATTGTAGTAGACGTTTTGCATTGACAATAGAAAAACACACACACACACACACATTAAGCTCACTTGGCTCTAACCCCATCACCAACACCCCCACCCCACCCCACACCCCTTTTACGGCCCAACCTTTGCTCACGCATTGGGCAACATAGTTAGCACAATTGTGTTGCATACTTTTTCGGGCATGCGTCAAAGCGAGATGCGAAGTGCGTATGTGTGTGTGTGTGTGTGTGTGTCCAACAACTGCCCAAGCTGGCCAGCCCACTGCCTCACACACACACACATACACACACACGCCAACAACACACACACAGAAAAATATCATGTT